AAAATATCGCAAGCCCTCCTCCGATTCGCATTCAACTGAGCCATACTTACGACCGTCACAACCACCACGACACGACCACGGCAGCTTCTTAGATGCCCCGGCCACCGTGGCCCAACCACCACCTTCTTCTTCTTATTTTTTTATTGATCGCGACCCTCTTGTGGCCCGCGTCCGATCAAGCCAAACCTGCGGCCGTCACAGCCACTGTGACACGACCTCCGCAGTCTTCAACTGTCTTGGCCACCATGGCACGACCACCGTTTTGTTTTTTGTTTAGATATTGGGATACGTCCTACAGACGGTGCCAATTTGATTTGTCAAATTTATGAACTCACCAAGATTACCGGTTGAATCACCTCGTCTTGACCGCCTTGCACTAAGAACCAAACAAAAGCACTGGGGATCGGCCCCGACGTAGACGTTCCAATGCTCAAGAAAGAAATCTTATATCTTAAACCGTACTGTAATTGAGAGGCTTATTGAGAGTTTAGGTTAGAAATTGAACTTGGATCTCTTATTTATAAGGAGTTTAATGACTTACTTTCTAAAACTAGGGGTTTTCTTAATAACCAAAGAGTCTGATCCTTTACTATCACTGTGTAGATATACACAAACTTGCTTGAATATCTTCCAGAGGTATCTATCCTTTAGAACTCTGCTAACCAGCAAGTTGAGTTTAATTAAGATTCTTCGAAGCTGTTTTACCAGCAAGGCTTCATTGAAAGCAGCAAGATCCCTAAAACCCAAACCCCTATTCTCTTTATCTCATGCAAACTTAACCCACTCAGCTCAGTGAATTCTGCACCCCCTTTACCATTTTTCTCCACTAATAGACAAATAAGTCTGACAATGGATAAAGGAACTTTGAAGCAAGACATTACATAAGTAGGGAGGGAATTCATGACAGATTCCATCATCACCTCTCTACCAGCCTCACTGAGGAAATTGTTCTTCCAGTTTTTGATTTTATTTTGTACACACTCATTCACAAACATTAAAGGTGTCCTTTTTGGATCTTCCAATCCCTAAGGGTAAGCCTAGGTATTTGGAAGATTTGACTGTAGAGATACCAGACAAGATATTACAAATGTGCCCCACTGCCACCTCTCGAGTGTTTCTAGAAAAGAGAATAGAAGATTTATCAAATTGACAAGATGACCAGAGTCATTACCATATTGAGCCAGAATAATTACAATCAGATTAGCATGCATCTCATCAGTTTTACAAAAGAGAATATAATCATCAACAGATGAGAAATACTATAGCATGCTTGCTAATTTTAATTCCTTTAAGAGCATCAGAAGAACATGATTGTTTCACAAGATTAGATAAGCCTTCAGACACTAGGATGAAAAGATAAGGTGATAGAGGATCACCCTGTCTATGAACCTAGTGGGTTGCAAGAATCCAAGATAAGCACCACCAATACTGAAGGAATAGAAAGTAGAACAGACACAAGAAAGAATCCAAAAATTAAAGACCTCACAAGCACCACCAACACTGAAAGAATAGAAAGTAGAACAGACACAAGAAAGGATCCAAAAAGTAAAGCACAAAACCCCATTTTTCTTATAAATTTTAGCAATGAAAGTCCATCCAACTCTGTCATATGCTTTTGTTATATCCAGTTTTAAGGACATGTAGCTTATTTTACCTTTTCTTTTGCTATTTAGAAAGTGTATGCAATCATTAGTAATTATGACGTTGTCAAAGATTTGCCTCCCTAGGACAAAAATAGATTGGGAGACAGATATGCAAGAAGAAAGCATAGATTTTAGTCCATTGGCAATTACCTTGGCAATGAAGATATGCAAGAAGAAAGCATAGTTTTTAGTCTATTGGCAATTATCTTGGCAATGATTTTGTAGATAACTGAACATAAGCTACTTGGTCTAAAATCCACCACTTTAGAGGGATTTTTCTTCTTTGGGATCAAAGTGATAACATAATGGTTTAGACCTCTAGGCACTTTACCATAGAGAAAAAGTTATCTATAACAAGACACACATGAAATTTAATTATAGGCCAAGAATGTTGAAAGAATAGATATGCGAAACCATCTGCACCTGGTGCTTTATCCTGAGCCATATCAAACAAGGCAACTATAGTTTCTTCTTTTTCCACCCTTCTCACCAAATCAGCATTGATCTAGCTAGAAATAGATATAGGGATTCCATCAAAATTGCACTTTTGATCCAAAGGATAAGACGATTTGAAGATTTTTATCAAAGTAAAAAAGCAACGCAACAAGAGTTTCATGAGAATTTCTACATCTAGACCCATCAGGTTTCAAAAGGCAATTAGACAGTTACTTTTTCTCCTCTGATTAACACTAGCATGGAAAAATTTAGAATTTCTATCCCCTTCCCTAAACCAGTGAACCCTAGCTTTCGGCTTCCAAAAGTTCTCATCATTTTTATAAGGAAGGTGAAGTTAATTATTACAAGAAACCTATTCCCCCATTCTCTATCCACTTCTAGATCTCTAAGAGAATTCAACCTAGTTTTACACTTAGCTATAATCAGGCTAGCATGTGGGACATTATTTATTTATTTATTTATTTTTTATTATTATTTTTTTTTCAGTTCAGAATGTTTAGCCTTACATTTCTGATTCTATCTTGAATACTGAATAAAGCAGGGTCAGACACAGGTTTGTTCCAAACATGATCAACAATAGAATTAAAATCATCGAATTTAGTCCATCTAGCATCAAAGGCAAACCTCTTCCTAAAAACTCATACTAGCATTTGAACAATCCAATAAAGGCAAACTGTGGTCTGAAGAAATTAAAGTTAAGTGCTTAACCAAGGAGTTTGGGTATTTAAGAAACCAAGAGGGAGAAAAGAAAAATCTGTCCAATTTTTCTCAATGAAGTGATCCCCTTTCCTATTGTTGGACCAAGTGAAAGAGTGACCTAAAACCCTAGCTTCTACAACCTTTTTCATAACGACATAGAACGTAAAAATTCTCATATAAAAACCAAGAATTTTCCCAATAAAGACAATGCGTAATTAGAATTTCTCATTGATTAGCTCTAACTTCCACCTCAGTCCTAGTATAAACAAAGGTGGCCCAAGAGATTTAAGAGAGACCCTTAAACCTGAAATTAACCTCTATACAAAAATCAAGATCGAAGATATATTCTCAGACCAAATAAAAAACAACCCACCCTTCTTACCCACAGTTTAACATAATACCACCTATCCTGCAATTTTAACTTCTTACACATAAAACTTAC